GGATTATAGGTAGTTTCTTTCTTTGATCATTTATCTTTTACTATACCTTCTAGATTTTCTACCAAGGTTATATATTGCTTTGAGAATAAGACAAAACTAAAAAGCTTAAAAAAAAAAAAAAAAGCAGATAATCTTGAGTGTGATGGGGACCTGCTGCCAGAAACAGACCAGCTCCTGGAAAGCAGTCCAGACACCTGCTGGAGGCGAGTTATGGCAAAGAAAACATCTCATCTCAGACCTGTTGCCAAGGAAAACAGGTCGATGTGTCAGAGGGTGGGCAAGGGTAGAGCCATGTGGCCCCCAAGAAGCCCTGCAGCACAGGGGAGAGGAAGGGCAGGGGTGCTCAGGATCTCCAGCTCCCACATGGGTGTCCATGGGCCTAGCAGAGATCAACTGCTCCTCAGGGACACCCCTTCCTGGGATGTCCCACCTGGTCCCTGAATATCCCCACGTGAGCCATGGGCAGTTTGTCCTTCCCCTGCTAATGCAGGCCTGGAGTTACTAGAGAAGGACAAAAAACAGACAGTGACAAGAGGAGGTAAGTGGCCACCCACACTCTGACTTCTTTCACACTGAACGCTGCAGAAAAACAAGTGCCACAGGTGGCAGCAGTCAGTGTCCTGCTGACATACCCTTTGCAGAGAGCATCTCTGTCACCTGCTGCAGGGTAGGAAAACTGGGCCTGGAACTGCACGTGAGGACTTACCATGAGGACCAGAGGGAGGTCAGGCACAAAGCCTCACTACAAAGGGGAAGCCACGTGCTAGCAAGAGGTTGCTCCTGGCCTCGGGCCCAGGCTCTGTTACCAGCAGCACCACAGACATGCCCCTCTCAGAGCCCTCTGCTCACACTCAGCCTGTCCCATCCAGGAGGCCTGGCCTAGCTCCTGGAGGACAGGACTGTGGGGCAAACCTGGCTGTAAATCTCAGTGTGGCCTGCAGCAGGACGGAGATTACCCATATGAAGAACTTAGCATTATGGCTGCCCCAGGCTCATCTATTTAGCAACAACTTAGGCATCAGTTGGAGAGGCTGCTGAATTATCTGTGGAGGATTTCTAAGGGACTCTCGCTGGGGGAGAGAGAAGGAAGGAAGACAATGGGGAGACCAGGGAGGCAGAGGTGGAAAGTAAGTGGCAGGAGTGCTGGGAAGAGGGTAAAGGACCAGGTCCTGTAGCATCCCCAGGTCAGTCATCACTCATGGTGACGGGTGACATAGAACGGGGAGGAGTGCCATGTGTCATTCCTGTCAAGAGCCCAGCGGAGCAGCCTCACAAGTGTCCCAACAGTTCCATAAAGAAAAGCAAGTAACTTGCCTCTGGAACCCACAGGTGCCAGAGAGCACCCCCCTGGGGCGGCACAGGTCAGGAGGAAAGCTGAAGACCCTTTCCCTTCCTGGCCTTTCTAAGCAGGACTGGGAAAGAAACTAACATTGACTGGGTACTCACGATGGGCATAGAAGCAACAAAGCAGACCAGCTTGGGCAAAAGTGAGACCCCCATCTCTACAGAAAATTTAAAAATTACCCAGGTGTAGTAGCATGCACCTCTAGTCCCAACTACATAGGAGGCTGAGGTGGGAGGATCACCTGGGCCCAGGAGGTCAAGGCTGCTTTTTTTGTGCCACTGCACTGCAGCCTGAGAGACAGAGTGAGACCTGATGTCAAAGAAAGACAAAGAAAAGAAGAACAGGAAAAAGAAGCAAATAAGCAACGCTGCAAAGAAAGACCATGGTTTTCTCTGGGCATCAGCATCAGGAAGTATTTTAATTTTCTTCTCTATACTTTCCTATATTATCCCACGACACAATGTACATGCATTGCTTTCATAATTAACAAGAGTCATAAAAAATCAATTCAGCTTTTTAGTTTGAGCCCCACTATTTTGGTTTGTTGGGATGCTTCAAAATGTCATTGCATGGTCTGGTATTTTAGCTGGTTAGCCTTTTCCCAAGGCTAACCCTGCCCAATGTGAAAGTATGCTTTTTAATAGTGTTAGCAAAGTTGCTGATTAAAAACAGGTACATACCCTCTAGACAGCAGGCCAGATTGACAGTCATAAAGTACCCAGGGGATGCTTCCCCTCAGGGTAGCTCCATCCTGTCTGATTCTCCCCATCACAGTTAGGAAAACAGCAACTCATTTAGTCAAATGTCTTGATAAAAGAAAGACATGCTCATTCATCAAGCTCAGCAATCCAAGAAACGAACCAAGCAGCACATTCAGCGATCTGCAGTAGAAGGTGTGCTCTGCTATGCTGATGGATCCCAATTTGTTTCTGTAAGTCTCTTAAAATGGTCTATCTCCAAATCACTCCGTATTTGGCCTGGAGCTGACACCTGGAGCACTGTGATTTCTGGATTTCACCCTTTCTGCACTTAGGAAACCTGGGATGGTACTGCTGGTCTCTGGCCTCTTCATATTTGTCCTTTACTCAAGGTCCCTCAAACACTGCAAAAGTGCTTTCTCAATCACTGGGGGTTCTCGGAAGCACTTTGGCATGAGGCACAAAGCCAGGCAGCTAAGACCTCTCTGCTCTCAGTTCACCTGTCCCGAGCTCCGAACTCCCTAGAAGGCATGTCCATTCCATCCCTTTCTAGGCTAAAGAGCATGCTCCCAGATGAAGGACTGTGTGGAAAGATAATTAATCCAGAGCTATCGCCATCTGACAGGAACATTAACGGGCAGCACATCAGGAAGCTAACCACATGCTTTTACCCTGATCCCTCTCACTCTGCCAGTCCAGCAGAAATAAACCCACATGTGCAGAGCCATGAAAGGCCAGGGGACTGGTGGGCTCCCCTGACTGGAGTAAAGGACTGGAAGGACAGACATCTGGAGGGGAAGACGCTAGAGGTTCCCAAGGAGGAACTGAAAACAGCCAGCCAGTATCTGCCATCATGGCAAGCAGGGTGATTTCAGCTCCAGATTCAACAAAACTTCCTGCAAGCCTTGCTGCCAACAGCAGCTGTGAGTCCAGCATATTTTACAGCCAGGAAGAACACTGCAGTGCTGCCTGGCTGGCCTCACAGCAGGCATTTTTTTGGGTACCTTTACCCTCAGGGATGCCCTCACCAAGGCCTTAGCAGACCTGAGGCAGACGCTCCTAAGGCCCTGCCGTTTTGATTTATCAGGAGAGGCCCACAAGACGGGGGTGGGGCTTGAAACTTTGTTTTGGGGCCTTGCTTTGTTCTCTTTTCAGAAGAGCTATAGGAAACCTTTCCTTTGGATTCTCTTAAGAATTTAGCACGTGTAAGAAAGAAAGAGTTAGGAAAATGCATAGTAAGAGTACATTTATAAACAGTCTCCAGGCTAGCCAAACCCAAACCCACAGATACTGTGGAGAAAGGGGAGGTGGCCAGGAGACCCAGCTCAGGCTCTGACCCCATTCTTTCTGGATCCTGAGGCTCTTGAGGCCTGAGGCAGCTCAGGACTCTTGAAGCAGTGGGTGGTCTGTGTCATTTCTCTACGTGACAGTTTCATCTGTCAAATGGGGCTAATCCTACTCACTGTGGCACTGTGGGTAAAATGAAAGATGACCCTTCAGGAAGACCATTTGTTATCGCCATAGGGTGACACACGGCTGCTGGCATGCGGACCCTATGATTGAGAGGAGGAATAACATTTCCTTCTCATGAAATATGCCTCTATGGACTAACCATCCTCACGCACTGTGACCTCGCAATTTCGGCCCTGCTCCGTGAGGCACTGACCTCTAGCTTTTCCTCCACAATCTCTTGTTTACCACACTCTGCGCCCACGACTGCCATCCCCTGGCCTCACGAGGCCTTGTTTGCCTTCCCAGGGGCAGCCTTGTCCCTCTTGGAAACCACCTATATTCAATTTTCTACTCTCCATGAGAGTGGGGAGGATACTGGCCCAGAAAACTGAGCCACAGGCCTTTTAGCCCTATCGCAAGCACATTTGATAGCACTTACAGCGTTTTACTTCCTTGATTCACTGTGGTCATTTCAGGCTGAGACTGCAACCAGGTGAAGCACACAGAAGGCATTCTAGATACCAGGTGATCTGCAGCTCCAGCCTGGCCTCCCCACGCTCTCTTGGCTCCTGGGCAAAGACAAGCCCTCCTGTGGCCTCAGCACCTGACCTCGTGTAAGATGAGAGGTGACTACTGTGCTAGGTAGTATCTTTTTTTTTTTTAATTAAAAAAATTCTTTTAGAGACAGGATCATTTTTTTGAGATGGAGTCTCACTCTGTCACCCAGGCTGGAGTGCAGTGGCAAAATCTTGGCTCACTATAACCTCCACCTTCCACGTTCAAGTGATTCTCCTGCCTCAGCCTCCTGAGTAACTGGGATTACAGGTGTGGGCCCCCATGCCCAGCTAATGAGACAGGGTCTTGTTTGGTTACCCGGGCTGGAGTGCAATGGTGCAATCACAGCTCACTGCAGCCTCAACCTGCCAGGTTCAAGCAATCCTCCCACCTCAGCCTCCTGAGTAGCTGGGATCACAAGTTGTGCACCACCATGCCTGGCTAATTTTTTATTTTTTGTAGAGATGGGCATCTTGCTGTGTGGCCCAGGCTGATCTTGAACTCTTGGCCTTAAACAATCCTCCTGCCTTGGCCTCCCAAAGTTCTGGAATTATAGGCATGAGCCCCTATATGAGGCATCAGCCCTAATTTTATTTCCAGGCCCGGTCTGTTCTAGGTAACATCTCAGGGTGCTTCCAGCCTAATTTCTCCAATTCATGCTGACTGGGAGGAAGCTGCTCAGAGCAACAGGTGGTGGAGCCTCACTGAACTCTAGCAAAGTGACAAGTGCAGCCTGATTGGGGCTTCTGTGTTGTTTCCATGGCAATGGGGGGTGGGCCGTGTGCACCGTGAGGGTGGAGACCTCGCCTGTCACCACTGCATCCCCTGGCTTAGCATGGGTCCTGGCATCCAACAAGTGCGTGCTTCCTGGGTTCACACTGCGAAACACCATGCTCATCCTACTCTGAGAGAGGGGAGGGTGTGCAGAGGAGGAGCAAAGTTCCACTCACATGGGGCGTGGAACATGACGAGGACAGAGGAGTGTTCCTTCAGAAACTGGTCAAAGTCTTCATCGGTCAGGTGATAAACGGAGCCGCCCTCATCTGCCCAGGGAGTCTCAGGGACCTGGGGCTGTGGCGGCTGCGGACTGGAAGACCAAAAACAGGCAGAGCTCAGAGCAGGCCCTGGGGCCTGGGCAGCCCTTCTCATTCCAGCCCCCTGGACATGAAGCTCCCCACTGGCTCGGCATGGCCCCCTCCAGGGGCTCAGCCTTTAACAAACCAGGAACTACCCCCGTGGTAGTGTCATGGGGTGAGTGGTGTGGCCCTGCCCACCTCCACCTTCCCCGCAAAGCCCCAGACAGGAACCTAGTTGAAACACTGTTACAAACAGTAGCTTCTGGTTACAGCTCTCTAGATAGCCTAAGACATCTTACTTCCTCCTGGGAATCTGGGGGCTTGTTAGCTTTCTCAACCTATTTCAAACTTTCAGCAAACTGGAAAGAATAAATAGCAACAGTGAATGATGACCTTTGGAAATGCTCACTGTTGTGTTTAGAACTGCCCACTAGACAGTGGAGAGGAGTAAGAGGGCACAGAGAGGAGGGATGAGGAGGAGAGAGAAGTCAGGTACCTGAGAAAGATCAGATCTAGGCCAGGCAAGGGGAAGCTGCCACATGGGGGTGCAGGGGAGTTCACCAAACAGCCTTGGGGGAAGGTCACAGTGAGGGAAAGAAGGCTGAGGGTATCCTAACTATGACAGTGTATACGCTACATCACGAATCCTTCCCAGAGGCCAACAACCAACTTATTTAGTCCTCCCAGAAGCCAGACCAACTCCACCAGTTATCAGCTGCAAAACCTTAGGCAGCCGCTTGACCTCTCCGGAGCTTGTTTCCGCAGAGTGACTGTGTGACCGTCCTGTCACCATCTGCTAGGAGGAGGGAGGCTCGCAGGGGCCCTCCCTTGCTCCAAAGTTCAGGACAGGGTGGCTGTGGTGACACAATCTCCCTGCTGCTTTACTGTCACAAGTACCTTTGCCAGAGCACCTTAATTGCAGCTTTGAAAAAACCCTCAAGGATGACAAATGCGAAAAGACAACCATTGTGTCTCACCTTTGAGAGCTTGCAGGAGCATCAGTTTTAAAGTTCAAGCACCAGAGACAGCGAAGTGGCTGACACAGTGGAATCTGCTACTTCCTCCCCCCCGCAGAAGCCCAGGTATGATGTCGCCTTCAGAAGCCCTCTCTGGCCCTTCTGACTGGGCCCCACAAGCTGCTATGGCCTCCGAGGTCCCAAGAAATAAAAGGAGGCAGGGAGAGGGCAAATCACTCTCAGCCAATGCATATCCAATGTCAGATGGGACTGGTGACAAAATCAAGCTTCAGAAAGAATCATCAGCCAGAAAATGGTCCCAGACAAACATGCAATCTAGGTTCCTATACCTGGGCTCAAACAACTGACCCCTCAGAACACCACCAATCCCACTTCAGAGCAATTTATCTTTACAGTACACCTGCACGCATACAACATTACGTGCATCCGGAGGCATCCACTGCAGGTTATTTGTCATAGCGAAGACTGGAAGGACAGGTTAGGTGAACTGCTGTCCATCTACACTAGGAAGGGCTGAGCGCTGCAAAGAATGATGTTCTCTACACTGTGATGTGGACAGACTGCTGGAGATGAATGGAACAGTCTAGAATTTGCTAACTTTTGCATTAAAAGGGGGGAGATAAAATATACTCATTCACATTTGCTAGTATCTACATAAACACCCTAAGAACATAAAAGAAACGGGTCTAAGTTGTAAATTCTAGGGTATGGGAGGAAGAATAAGAAAAAGGAAAGAAGTGAAAGGGAGGCTTTTGAATGTATTCCTTTTAAACATTCTTAAAATGTTGCCAGCCTGGACAAAAGAATGAGATTCCATGTCTACAAAAACATGAAATAGAAAAATCAGCCGGGTATGGTGGCCTGTGCCTGTAGACCCAGCTACTCAGGAAGCTGAGGCAGGAGGATCACTTGAGCCCAGGAGCTCAAAGCTGCAGTGAGCTGTGATGGCACCCTCTACGCTCCAGCCTGGGTGACAGAGAGAGACCTTATTTAAAAAATAAAAATAATTTTAAAAATTGAATTATGTGAATGTAATTGATTCAAAAACTAAACTTTTTAAAAGTCCAGCAAGAGCACAAATATGGGATGGAGAGGCCATGGCTCAGCAGGAAGACAGGCCCAGGAAGGAAAGAACCAGAGGAGCATCCAGTCATGGAGGCGAATACACTCTAAAATCGCGAAAATAACAGTTCAGGAGTTAAAACAAACAAACAAAAAAAACCTTTCCGGGTAGAAAAAGCAGAGTATGGGCTCAAGAACCACAGCCACACAGAAGACAAGGCTCTGAAGGGCCCAGGGACCCACTCCCTGAGGCACAGCTGCAGCCTAGGGCTGAAAACAGGAGGTTTAGCTGAAAACTGGAGTGGTCAGATCCTCAGATCCTAGGGCACTCTCCTCTCCCACCCAGGAGACTGGAAGTTTCTTTCTGGGAGAGGACTGCAGAACCGGGCACCATGGTAAAAGGATGTACTGGGAAGAGACGGACTGAGTGGGAGTCTGAACCCAAAACACTGAAAGATGCTTTTCACTCCCTGCCTACCCCAGGCAGGGAGCTCCTTGCAGAGCACTCTCTCACCTCTGTACTAACTCCTGCGCCCAATACACAGCAGACACCCAGTACATGCTCATTGAATAGAAGCATTCCCTGAATGAGGGGAAAATGGCTTAAGGAACTGGAAGTGTTTAATTTGGAGACAGGATGTAAGAGAACACAGTGGCTATCATCAAATATTCCAAACTGCATTAAGAAAAGAAATTAAGATTTATTTTCTAGGGCCTGAAGAGGAGAACCAACACTAATGAGTGGAAGCTCCAGAGAAAGAAACTTCAGTTCGATGTAAGTAAGAATGTTCTGTCTACTGCAGGGAAGAGGGAAAGAAGGCCAAAGTGGGAGTCAGCAGACCTAAGCTTGAGTCCTGTTTCCTTCACTACCCACAATCAGAGAGCTTCAAACAGCCAAAAGACAGTGCGTTTGTGGTCCTTTCTTTACTTGCCTCTCAGCCTCAACTAGACAGAAAATATATGTGAGATGCTTTGTAATTTTATAAAGTACTGCCCAAATGTTCCTAGACACCATTTACCACCTAAATCATAAGAGTCATTCAAGCATGAATGGGCAACCTCAGAATGAGTCCAATGGGAGTGAGGAAATGCAAACATTGAAAGGATGACTGGGGCAGATTTGATGACTTTATGTTCCCTTCCGATCTGCTTTCATGCAACTGATTTCATGAGCTCTGCAGTTTAGAGATAGCAATTGGTCCCAGGCTCCCTAGGACTGGGAGCGCCTTACAATCAGACCTTTTTCTAAGGGAGATGTATGTGCCATAGACGAGAAGATGCAACTCTAACCACTACGAGTCCAGAAAACTTGGTGTTTGTAAATTCAGTTCACTTCTGGTTGGTATAAAGCGACACAGGCCAAAATGGCCCTGCCTGAAATGGACTGCTGCTTATGCACCCTTCCACCTGTCTGCTAGCCCAGCTCACCACTGACAACTTCAAGGGGCCAGTGAGATATGTGGCCATTAAGAGAACAAAAGGCACCAGTGCCACAATCAATGCATCTACTCCAGAGCCCTCACACGCTCAGATGCCAGGGGCTGACTCCCTGCCCTGCCTCACCTGGTGCCACCCTTCCCCAGCCCAACCACCAGAGTCACGCATTGAAGGGTGGGACCTAGGGACTTCTCTCCTAGGTGTTTGAGAGCCAGCTGGAGAATTAGCAAGGCTGGGTTCACCCTCATCTTTCTCTACTTGTCTGCAAAGAAGCCCTAAGCAGCTAAGGGCCAACGGAGAAACCTGGTGAAACAGGAAAGGTGAGATCACTACTGCCCACCAGGATCTGAGGGGTAACTGGAAAAGGCTTAATACAAGTGGGACCAGAAAAACCCACAGGCAGAGCTGGATCTACGTAGGGGAAATAATACCACAATATGCTATCTTTGGGTAATAGGGTGGGGGAGGACTTTTTGTTTAACCACACTTTTAGGTTTTTCTATAATAAGCCTATCTTAGTCGAGTCTCTCTAAAATCAGAAAAGATTTTTAAAAATTAAGCCAGTTGGTAGCAGAGCGATGTTGCTAGCTCCAGCAGAGGCTAAGGCTGTTAACAACAGCTCCTTCCCTCCCACGATGGGAGATGGGGGGAAGTAGGGAGTGGGGATCCGGTGCCCAGGACCAGAGTCTGGAGGCAGCTGTGGTGTGCAGGCCAGCCAGAGCAATGCAGGTAGGGGAGCTGTGATGGGGTGCACCGAGAGGAGAGGGGTGGGAGGATGGGGAAGGAGACTCCAGTTGGGAGATAATAGCCTGTTTCAAAAACGCCATTGATGTGCTCCCTTTGTCTAGGGTTAGCAGGCAATTCTGAACACTTAAAAAAAACACACACAAATTGTATCCTTCCAAAAAAGATATGAGGATGTTTTGAAATCAGAAAAGGTTAGAAAAGGGAAAGAAAGCAGACAGACTTTATGCTCTGGTGACAAATGAGATTGCTATTTGTTGAGACATTCTCCCAAAGCAGAATGAGATGTGTCTGCCTGGAGGAGAGGACATGCTTATTATCAAATGAAAAAGGAAAACAGTCAAGCAAAGGCCCAGGTTAAGACAATGAACACATGATCATGGGCAGCAGCCTTCCCAGGCGGGGGCTGGAAATGAGACAGCCGATGAGGGCAGAGACGTGAGGATGCTTCCAAGAAATAAAAGACACGATGCAAACGTGGTAGCCCTTGTTCTTATCTCCCGGGCCCCTGGGAGTAGGCAGAACAGAAGAGGGAGATTCTCCACCTTTAGAAATCTAACAGTTTCATGCTCGTTTTTTTTTTTTTTCTTTCCTGGTACAAAATTTACCCTTCTTTCCCATTTTGAAAATACACATTTTCAACCTCCATGTCTTTGGATAACTAATTCTTTAATCCTGGGGTTTGCACACTGTGTCCCTAAGGTAATGATGTCAATAAATATCCACTGTGCTGGCAGCTGAGGGGAAGGGCTCCAAGCAGAACTTGAGGAGGCTGAGCTGGACTGTGGGGGCTGCAGGGAGCTGGGCCGGGGGCAGGGATCCATTAGGGCCCTGCCACTGCCTACCAGCAGCACCACCCCCTCACTGTGCCTCAGGGACCTCATTCATAAAATGAAGAGAAAGGTAACATCTTCCTTACAGTGCTGTTGTGAGGACTAAATGAGAATCCATGTAAAGTGCTTACAACAGTGTCAGCCACAAAGGAGATTGGCTGTTGTTATTCCAGCGTGTGTGCACAAATTCCCACGAAGCAGCAGCAGCTGGTAAGTGCCGAACTTGTGACACACAGAGCGTAGCCTGAACAGGGTGCGTGCTCAGTGAGGGTGGCCTGGGGAGGCTTCCAGAAGGGGACATCATGAGCCTGAGGTGGAAGAGCTCGTGAGAAGTGGGAATGGGGTGATCCGGCAGGACAAAGCAGCAGGCCTAGCACAGTGGGGGCTCCAAGTAAGGGGGGCAGCAGCCAACAGGGTGGTGGAGTTTGGCATTACAAGGATCTAATCACGTTATAAAACAGGGATCGCAGGTTGCTCTGAAGCCATGCCTGTGGGGGCATTAGAATATTTCTTAGTACCTTCACAGCACCTAAGACAGTGTTGTGTTTGAAAGAAGCGTTCAACTGACAATTCTGTTTTCAGAGAGACCTGCACTGGAGCCTCTCTCAAACCTGGTATCCTGGGTGAGAAATACCTCTATCCATCAGATAGATGTGTCGAGGAGAAACTCAATGTGAAATGTGGGAAGATTTCAGAAAGGCCCTGACTATTCCAGAAGAGCTGACAGGCTTCGGCAGCCCCTCCCCAGTTTCAGTCTGTGGCGAAGGGAGGTAGGGGAGACAGACTCCCCACCCAACACACCAGGCAGGTCTGATCATCACAGGCCAAAGTCACACCAAATCCTCACGGATCCTGCAACTTGAATTCCGAAAATCCCCATAATGACCTAGACTCAAGCCAGAGACAGCTGTGGGCCATACCACAGTTCCCTTCCTCATTCTCTCCCCCAACTACCAGCCAGAGCCCTGCGGCCCTCGGGCTCAGCAGATGCCCCGCCCTCTGGATCCACACCCCCCAACACACACACACACACACACACACACACACACACACACACGTGCGCGCCCCACTTACCTCTTCAGCCACTCCACGATGTCCTCGGCTGTGGACCCATAGTTGTCATACTGGAACAAGAACCTTCCTTTCCTGTGAAACATGGAGAAACCACGCAGGCTCAGCCAGGGATGCAAATGCCACCCTGAGATTATGGTCAATCACCAGGGAAGGAAGCGAGCTTCAGAAGGAAAGTGGGGGACGTACTCAAAATAGCAGATGGTGGGGTAGCCGCGCACGCTGTATTCCTCCTTGATGTTTTCAAATTCAGAGGAGTGGACATTCATCCCGGCCAGCACCTGGGAGGAAGTGGAGAACAGCCGTGTGGAGCCTATGCCCCACAGACACCCTCTGATCCACACCCATCTGTCCAGCAGCTGTCCCACCAGAAAGACATACAGGACAAAGCCCCACAGACCAATGTGCATCAGGGCTGCTGGGAAACAAGGCCAGTGAAGCCAGCCAGGAATCACGACCTGGCGCTGGAGAAGGCAGGCAGCTTGGCCTAGTGCTGCACTCAGCACACCTGCTCCCTCTGCCGCCCTGCAGGAAGAACCACCCCAGAGCAAAGCCAATGTTCTGAGGGTTGCAGAAGAAGCCTGGCCTCGCCACCTAGTTCAAACTGCTCTCAGAGAGGGGCCACTGCCAAGGATGTGTTACGCCTATTTCTCTGCTCATGTCAACTCGGGTTGTATTCTTTCCTAATAAGTGGCTTTTGTACGCCCATTCAGCTCTGCGTAACATCCTTAGACACCCTCCTGGATACCTCATGGTTTGCCCACCTAGGCTTGAGTGTGATGTTTTCAAACCTCACAGCTCATATGTGGCCAGGGAGGCCGTGTGGCTCTCATAACACAACATGAGAAACGAGATGCCTGCCTAACTCTCCTCCCTCCAGGCCATGCTGTGCCTCCCCGGTGTTTCTTCCTGTTGGTGACCATTACCCACAGGCTTCCTGGATTATCATCTCAGAATTCTGAACAAATTCTGACTCCAGAGGTTTACCTGTCCACTATCCCTAAATCAGAAAGAATATTTTAGTAGCTGGGTAACATGATGTAGCTAAACACTAAGACTAACTCAAAGAATCCCCTAAAACTCCTTGTTTCCTGAAGCAGGAACCTTCTTCTCTAGGGATAGATCAGGAACTAGGAAGGAGAAGTCTGTAGAGATTAAAAACAAATTTTTTTGGAGACAGGGTTTCACTCTGTCAGTCAGGCTGGAGTGCAGTGGCACAATCATAGCTCACAGCACAAAAGCGCTGGGATGACAGGCACGAGCCACCGTGCCTAGTCAGGACTTTGAATCTGCTCTCACCAGAGAAGGTAGCTAGAATGGCTAGACACAGGAAGGCTGCTCCGCAAAGCAGAGTGCCATAGAAGTGAGGGAAACATAAGTCAAAAAAGCCAGCAGCAGTTGCAGAAGCAGAGAGAAGAAACCCTGCACAAAATCTTCCAATTCCACTGAATATAGGCTAAAATCCAGCTCCGTAACTAATTCCTGGGCTAAAGCAATCCTCCTACCCCAGCCTCCTCAGTAGCCGGACCACAGGTGTGTGCCACTATGTCCAGCTGATATTTTTTTTTTTCTTTTTGGTAGAGACGAGGTCTTGCTGTTGCCCAGGCTGGTCTCTAACTCCTGGGCTCAAGTGATCCTTCCACTTCGACCTCCCGAAGCGCTGGGATGGCAGGCATGAGCCACCATGCCCAGCCAGGACTTTGAATCTGCTCTCAGCAGAGAACACAGACAGAATGGCCAGACACAGGAAGGCCATTCCACAAAGCAGAGTGGCATAGAAGAGAGAAAAAAAGAGTCAAAAAAGCCAGCAGCAGTTACAGAAGCAAAGAGAAGAAACCCAGGAAGCTGAACTTTACTGACAAATATACAAGGACACATAGCAAGAGAAAAATAAATAGTGGTTTCAGTGTACAATAACTTGATTGCAAAGACAGCTTCCCCCTATGAGTCATGTGACCTTGGGCAAATCACTCACCCTCATTGAGGTCCCTTGCTGGAAGATGTGACCATCACAGGACTCTTTAGAGAACTAAATGAGATGACCTGTGTCAGAGGTTGCAGCACAAAACTGGAGCTCAGTAACTGTCATCTTCCTTACTTCCTACCGAGTCTTCCTGGTAATGGGAGCCACTGTGCCTCTGGCCTCTCCATCCCTAGAAGCACCTGGATGTCTTTCCAATTATCTCAAGTCCCTAGCACAAGGCCTCACATACAGCAGGCACACAATAAATGCTCACTAAATCACTGATTTTTTTTTTCCTAGCCCATTTTAGGATATAGCAAATAATACAGGAAGAACAAATTTGAATTGAATTTACTTGAAGCCTTGGAATGCTCTATAAAAGTCATTCTGCTCATTTCCCAGTGGCCTGTTCCAGTAATATTTGTCTACTTTAAAAGTCCTTTTCTTTCTGCCTAATTGATCTCCCCAATGTCAGCGCACATTCACTACAGATTAATCTTACACGTCCTCCTCGCTCATTACATCACTTCCCTGCACAAAACCTTCCAATTCCATTGAATATAGGCTAAAATCCAGCTCCATATTCAATGCCCATATGGTCCCTATTTCATTTTTGAATCTTTCTTTCTTGCAAAACTCTTCATTGTACACCTGCTAGGGTCTATATTTTTTATTCTCCCAGGAACGAGACAGTCTGAGATTTCTGCACAGGAAGTTGGACCGTCTGCCTTTTCAGACATCTTGCTGAGTGCGGCAGCAACATGGCGCAGTGGCTGGAAGCATGGGCTCTGGACGCCTGGGTTTGAGTCCCAACTCTCCACAAGGTCATGCATTTCCTTGAACGAGCATGACCTCATGGGGAGTCAGATGTCAATAACTGGCAAGGCTGGGAAGAGGAGGCAGATGGAGACAGGGCTTGTTCTGACCGCTGCTCTGAGACAGGGGCGGCAGCATGGTTGCTAATGAGAATGCCAGCTAGCAGGAGTAGATGGAACAGACGTGATGAGTCACCAGACATCAATGACAGCAAAAAAGAGGCAGCCCTAACTTTGGAAATGGCAAAGGCTGTGCATCCCTGACCTGGCATGCCTTCCTTCCTAATGGCATCATCAGGTTGAATACTTCCCAAGAATTCTGTAGAGGAGGAAGATTTTTGACTCTTGCCAGGGACAGAGCCAGCCAAAAAGGCTCAAGGATGACAGAGATGAAGAGGAGACAGAAAGCCCTAATCCAGCTGTGTTTCAGCAGTGGGGAGGGGGTGAGCTTTGATTTCTGGGGAATAGCAGCCCATTTCTTAGTCCCACCTCTTCTCTCTGTGTGAAAACAAAAAGCAACTGACACCTGTGGTCACTCAACCCCTCCAGCCCAGTCCCCAGTTTCTGGGGAGCTGCCCCTGCAGAGTAAGCTCTGGCCTCTAGGGGCCTCCTGTGTGGGCAATGCCTGCGGTGGCCAGGGCCCTTCCCCTTTATGTAGCTGGGAAAAAGATAGAGCTTTCCAGAATATGCTTTCCTAGGAAATGAAGGGGAAAATTGAATAAAACAAACCCCAAGCAATACACAAACAAAGAAATGAGTTTACACAACCCAGATGCCTTAGGCCAAGGCAGCCAACACCTGGTCACAGCTTGACTTGCCCAGCTTCGTAGACAACACCTCTGACTTTTCTGTAATGTTGAGGGAACTAGAAGAGGTAATTTTATATTTTCTAGACCCGGGCCCAGGCAGAAGCTGAAATTCATTTTTTCTTTTTTTAGAGACAGGATCTTGCTCTGTCGCCCAGAGCGTGGTGCAATCATAGCTCACTGCAGCCTTGAACTCCTGGGCTCAAGTGATCCTTCTACCTCAGCCTCCCAAGTAGCTAGGACTGACTACAGGCATATCCTATTGCCCCCAGCTAATTTTTAAACTTTTTTGTAGACACAGGGTCTTACTATGTTGCCCAGGCTGGTCTCTAGCTCCTGGCCTCAAGTGATTCTCCCACCTTGGCCTCCCAAAGCACTGGGAATACAGGTGTAAGCTACCATGCCCTGCCAGAAACTAGTATTCTTAATACGAATGGTCTTTGGGGTTAACCTTTTAACCTGTCCTACAAATGTCCTTCCCACTACGCTACGCTTCTGTCCTTAATAACAAATGCTCGGGATTCCTTTAAAGGAAAGGAACATTATTCTTAATATAGAGCTTAAAATAAAACATACCCAGGAGTGATGAGCCACAAGCTATTCATTCATCAACATATACTGGATATCTACTGTGAGCTTGGCCCTGTGGTATGTACTAAAGAAACAGACATGAACACAGCTCCTGAACCCAAGAAATTCACATATCATAATTAGTACCAAGTGGTGAACAAAGTGGTCTGGAACAAAAGCAAAGATGAACATATCTGGCTGTGCGTGGCAGGGACAAGCTCTGTGGCAGCGTGGGAGGGGGCCTGGAAGGATACTGAGTTGGCTGAGAATGGCTCACAAGATGTATGAAACCCACTTCAAGCCCTCGAGACCGGCATCAAGCCGTCTTCTGCTTCAGTGGGTTTGGCTGGGACAACATGTGATCCGATCTGGGACTAAGCTGTTTCCCTTCCACAGCAAAGAACTCGGGAAGTCGAGCTAAGCAGCTTTCCAAGTGTATGCAGGGGCAGGCAGAGAGAACACTGTGGGTAATTAAGTCTTTTCTCCAGGCTAAATAATCTTAAAATATGCTATCTATTGAGGTCCCAATAATTTGAAGTGAAACTTCCCTGGAGTGATGTATGTGTGCCCCAAGGCCAAACGTCTCTGGGCAAGTTGCTAAAAATTCATTGGTGAGAAGCAAGTACCTCAGTGTTACCCCAGAATGAGGCCAGAAGAGAAAGCACTGGTTCTCTGCAGCCCCACCTTGCAGCTGGCGAGCGGGGCCGTCTCCGTGCCAGGTGCTGCCACTTCAACTTGTTAAGTTGACTTTGAGCTCTTCACCACTTAATTTGATCCACAAAGATCATGATGCAGTTTCAGGTCCTCAGATCTCCCCTAATGGGGCTTTGGCCACACCACTGAGATGGCTCCACTAGATAACCTTTCATGAAAGATGTATGGATTTTCCCATGCTCCCTTAGAGCAGCCGGCAGCTATTTTCATGTTGCCATCAAAACAAGACACTTCTGCTACTCAGGATAAGTGCAAAAATGGACAAACAGATATCTGAAAGAATTAGAAGCAGGCTCCCAAAGAGGTATTTGCACACCCATGTTCATTGCAGCATTATTCACAGCAGCCAAGAAAGCTGGAAGCGACTCATCAACAGATGAGTGGATAAAGAAAATGGGATGGTAGGTACATACAATGGAACATAATTCAGTCCTAAAAAAAGAAGGAAATCTATGACATGCTACATGGATGAACCTTGAGAATATCATGCTAAGCAAAATAAGCCAGTCACAGAAAGACAAATACTATAGATCCCATTCATATGAGTACTTAAAATAGTCTAAATCATAGAAATAGGCCTGGCCAGATAGCACACACCTGAAGTCCCAGCCACTCAGGAGGCTAAGACAGGAAGATTGCTTAAGCCAGGAGTTCATATCCAACCTGGGCAACATAGTGAGACCCTGTCTCTAAAACAGACAAACTACATATATAAACATAGACACACATATGGAAACAGAAAGTTGAAAGGCAGTTTACCAAGGGCAGGGGTGAGGTGGGAAGGCAGAATTCATATTTAGTGGATATAGAATTTCTGTTTTGGAAAATGAAAAAGTTCTTGAGAAAGGTTGCACAACAATGTAAATATACTTAATGCCACTGAACTGTACATTTAGAAATGGCTAAGATGGTCAATGTAATGTTATATGTTTTTTACCACAATGAAAAAATAATAGACACATGGCAGAGAACCAAAAAGCCTGGCAGGGTGTAGGAACACTGAGGTAGCAGGGAGCATTTGGTCACCGACTTTTGGCCCTTCTGGGTGAAGTCTGTCCCCCTCCCAGCTCTCTTCTCCACCTGAAGACTCCAGGCTCCCCTCCTACCTCTCTGCTCCATCCCAGCTGCTTCTACTTCTCTGAAGGCCCATCTCCTTAGTGGCTTCTCTTTCTCCTCCTGTTCCTAGAGGGAGGCATCCCTAGGACACATGCATCTCCATTCTGTCTATTCTTCCCTACACTCCCTCCTGGAAGAATGCCTGAATTCCCAGGTCTCTCACCCCCATCCAGATCTACCTCCTCCAACTCTGGTTTCCACCATTCTTCCTGCCCTACAGGAACCACAGAGCCTGGGAAGCCTGGATAAGGCTCTGCCTGTGTGAGCCCGCTTTATGCTTCTGGTCCACCCCTAAGGTCATTGCACCCTCTTCTTTGCCACTGGGCTCCACAGCAGCTGCCTCGGTTCACTTGGAGCCCAGGTCTCAAAATTCTGGACCTATGACGTTCTGACTTCAGTTCCTGGCTCCCTGACAATGCCACATGTACATCTTCCTGGTGTCCTATTTCATCACTGGCCTTTGGCAGGTGTCAAACTCTCCTGGTCCCAGCAACTTGGTAGAGTTCTCAACCTTCACAGAGAACAGGTCCCTGAGCTTCATGCAAGGCTTCGATTCAGCAACGGCCCAGACAGCGGGGTCAATCATCCTCACCATCTCAAAACCTGCCTCCTACCCCCAATGTAGCACCTTCCCCTGCCAAGTCCAAGACTGGCCCAGCCCTGCTGGACAACGGTGCCTCACTTACAGCGTGGCCTCGCAGCTGAGTCGCAGCCTTCTGGAAATGTGGCATCATCCTCTTGCACACGCTGCACCCTGGTCACAGCAGGAGAGAGACCACATCTAGTTACAGGAATGGCTGGGCCCTCACACCCTGCCCTGCCTCCCCATGGCCATCCTCTACCCAACAAGCACTTATCCAGCCTTGAGAAGCTCCGGACCATTCTAGATCCCAGGTACACAAAAGGAATAGGAGGCGGGAGTCCCAGCCCCCAAAGAGTTTACAGTCTCAGTGGCGCAAAACAAGGCACTGCCCAGCAGCCAGTCATAAATGGTGGATTGAAGAAACAAGCATGACACCAAGGGAGAAGAGCAGAGTCCAGAGTACTGATAATGACCTCAATAGAAATTCAGAAAACCAGTACAGGTGTCAAGAGAGCAAGTGCTACTCGCACAGTGAAAAGCACCCCTCAAAACCCGGAAAGGCCTGCAAATGAGCCAGAGTCAAATGCCATTATGAAGAAAAATGTGTGACCATGAATACAATCACTTTTGGTATTTCCAGGCCTCCTTTCTCTTTCATTAACAAGGATAATTAAGCAATGACCGGAGGCAGGCTGAGCGTGAACAGCACTGGCTCTGGCCCGTGGGATGAGCGCCAGACCAGGACTTTGGACGCCACACCGGCTCTGATCTTCACACAACTTGCTGAAGGCCTTGAGAAGTCACGTCCTCTCCCTGGGCTCTTTCCTCTGGCAGATGAGGCGGGCTGAACCACACAACCTCAGGCCCCTTCCAGCTCTGATAGCAGAGGATTCTGTCTGCGATGGCCTTGGATCAGCCCTCCAGGGCTCTGTGGCACACCATGGTCACACCCCTCTCCTGGTGGTGAAGACCCCCAGCCTTGGTTGGGGGTCTTGAACTCCTGGGTTCACTGTGAAGTCATAGTGGATGTTTGGGACCTGGCCTTCCTAGTCGGGGACTCCACAGAGTGACCTTAAACTCCTTCCCTTAAACCAGAGCAGACTACGTTTCAGCACTGATCTCACAGGACAGGAGCAGTTTCCTCTGCTACAAAACAGAGTTTAAGATCCATCTGAAGACCATAGGAACCAGAGCTGCCTGGAACCATGTGTCAGGCTGGTTCTCATCTCAGCTTGGCACAGCGGGCACAGGGGCCACGTGGCAACAGGCGATCCAGCTCCAATCCATGCTTACCTGACACCTAGACAGGACATGAAGCCAGAAGGCCAACATTTCTGCTGGGCCACAAGAACCTCCCCAGCACCAGGCCTATTTGGCCATGAGTCTCCCAAGGTGCCCAGCAGCCCCCTCCTGACATTCCTGTCTAACAGATGGACTCACACACACCCCAGTATGTGATCCTTGGGCTTAAGTTCTGCCATCGGTCCTGGCAAGAGAGAAGGGGCTGTTTAGAGGCCAGCCTGCAGTGTGAGCTCGCCCCATCTGCCCTCAGAAGATAAGAGGTGCCTCTCCTTGGGACCTGCTACCAAAATGGGAACACCACTGGGGCATAAAGAAAGGAATATGACACTTGTCAGGGGCATCGTCCTCACTGTGGAGATTCAGAGGGAAGAGAGTAGAAGCAGGAACAATGCTCCAGGGGGACGTCACTGGGTAGAAAATAGGTGGCTGCAGGTGGCGCAGAAGAAGGAGATCAGCTCTGGGAAGAACAAGACCAAGACCAAGATCTGCGTCTCCCCAGCACCGTTGGCTGTGTGATCCTGGGCAAGTGCCCTGGGCTCTCCAAGTCTCAACTTCCCCATCTGTGCAGTGGGAATAGGTACCCCACAGGTGTTGGACAGAGCTGGGGAACATTCATGCCTGCAGAGACATCTGAGTTCAACTCCAGGCCTGAGAGCATGCTTTCCAGTCCGTGGTGGGGGAAACACTTCCACAGAGGGTAGGATGTCACTCCATCCCCAGGAGGGAAAATAAGGGGGTACACTTGCAGCCTCTCACTCATTCTTCAAATGGTGACTTCAATCTGACACCCGCTGGGCCACATTCAGCTACCAAAAATCCTCAGGTGTGGCCTCTCTGTTCTGCCTGTTTGCAGCCTGCAGCAATTATACAGTGAAACAGGGGATGGGTCAGCCAGCTGTCCCTGAGGGCAGGGCCACCAGCACTGGGTGGAGAAGTTATTGGGTGGGGAGAGAAGTGATGGAGGAGTAGGAAACCACAGGCCAAGCCAGTTTCAAATTTAACTTTACCAAAAATAGAGCTGGCCCTGTGCTGATTCCACTGGGAGGCAGGGGGAGAGGTAAGACTAATTATCACTCTCAAACCCCAACAGTCAGAGTAGTCAGCCTTTTTATTTTCTGATTAATTCAGTGAGCAAACATCTCCCGAATAAAGCAATCCTGGGGAGCCAGGTTCCTTGTCAGCGCCAAAGGTTCCCACTGCCTTTGGGACCATTCACCCCACATGTGACCAAAGGGTCACAGAGTCCTAACAGATGTCCCAGTTAGGGAACTGCTGGGTATCCCAAGAATCAGCTGAAATAAGATGCCATGATGGCATGATTAGACTAGGGTGCCAAAAGCACAAGTTTGTTTCATGTTTTAAAAAACCATACACATGTATATAATCAAAAAAAGAGTCCTGAGTTCCTTGGGACCTGGGAGTCCAACTGATCTGACCCTCCACCAAAAGTTTAACTTAACCTTGAGTTTTCTTCTCCCTCCCCTACCACCAATAAGCTTTGTGACTCTGAGGTACTAACTTCCCTGCCCCAGCTTCCTCTTCTATAAAAATAACTGTGCTCACATCTCTGCTGTGAAGAGTGGGATGAGCACACTGTCACACAGCCTGGATGCATGGTGGGGAGAGGTCACAGAACACAGGTGCAAACCTCCAGAGCACTACTTCTAAATAACTACAGACCTGTCTGGTTACACCTAGATCCTGTCTTGTGGCACTCCATTTTATAGCTACATTTAAACAATGTGTTGAGTCCAGAAGGGCTTTAAGATACACCAAAGAAGGCCCATCCTCTAGGGGCTACGTGGGCAGGATAATTCCTAAAGCAATTCACAGCTGGGTACTTAATAATATTTCTCCAAGAAGAAATGAAACGGGGTGAAACTAACTAATGAACATTAATAAAGAAGAGGAGTGAGGATTAAAGTAGCTACCATTCAGGTCAGAGCTGGATCTACAGCAAGTGAGACACCAGGGCCTCCTCCCAAAGGCAAGCACAGCCCTGGGGGCAGCGAGGAGGCCTGGGAAGGAGGCTGGGGCTGGAGAACTCCCAGCAATCAAAACAGGAGTCGGGGGCCGGGTGTGGTGGCTCACGCCTGCAATCCCAGCACTTTGGAGGCGGAGGGGGGTAGATCACCTGACATCAGAAGTTTTAAACCAGCCTGGCCAACATGGTGAAACCCCATCTCTACTAAAAATACAAAAATTAGCTGAGCATCTTTAGTCCCTGTTGCCCAGGAGGCCGATGCAGGAGAATTGTTTGAACCTGGGGGACAGAGTTTGCAGTATGTTGAGATGGCACCACTGCACTCTAGCCTGGATGGCAGAGCAAGACTCTGTCACAAAAAAACAAAAACAAAAACAAACAAAAAAACAGGGCTGGGGAAAGGCTGCTGTCATGGCAAATAAGCTACTGGCTCAGAGCACCACAGAAGGGCATACAGCTGAGGGGGTGGGGGCATCATCCCCAGGGTGCAGACAGGACGAGCCTTTGCCTAAAGAACTTCTCAGGAAATGTGATTCAAGATGGGCTTTCATGAGCAAACAGAACTCTGGTTTGCAGTGACAAACCAGAGCCTATGACACCCTTCTGAGCCACACACACCTGGGCAGAGCCTATGACACTCTCCTGAGCCACACACACCTGGGCAACCTGCTTGCATCTTGTAAGCCCCTCTGTCACTCCAGCCTTCAGGGAGACACTGACATCGCTGCTTCGTGAAGGACAGATGCAGTTCACAGAGGCGCAGCACAAAGGACCTTGCCCGGCTCAAATCCAGGGTTATTTTCAATTTGTGGGTTGGGACCCGTTAGACTGTGGACGTGCCCAGACAGTGAGTTTTTGAGGCTTTGCAGGCCACACTGTCTCTGTCACAAGTACTGAACTCTGTTGCTAGCCAATGTAGAGCCATGGCTGGGTCCCAACAAACCTTTACAAAATGAGGCAGCTGGCCTGTGGGCCATAATTTGCTGACCCTTTGTCAGAGGGTTATGAAGCAGTAGAAATAACCGATAATTTTTAAATAAAACAGAACAGAAAATAGTGGGCATTACATCTGGTAAACAACAGATGGCAATAGTAAGGTCAAGTGCAGTTCTGTGAAACTTTTGTTTCAGCTTATTTGCATATGATTTATATATACTTCTAGTACAGGGTTGCAGTTTAAAACATTTTAATTCTGTGAAATTCCATCAAAAAGTTTGAAAGCCACTGCTGTGATCTAGTCCCTTCTCTTACAGATGGAGAAACTGAGGCCTAGCAAGGCAAAGGACTTGGCCAAGTTCACCCGGCTCACTGGTGGCACAGCTGGGATTTGAACCCATGTGTTCGGGCTGTCATCGCAAAGATCCTCCTGCTATCTCCCACATCCTTCTGCCTCATACAGGGACTAAGCCCAAATTCTGGAACCCATTTCTCTCTGCTCCTGGTCCCCTGCTCCTCCCAGGTGGTACCAGCAGAGGATGCAGGAGCTAGAGCTGGACGAGCTGCTGCCCCTAGAGGCGGGCCAGGCTCTGCACCATGATGCTATGCCTGAGGGGTAGCAGAACAGCCACAGGGTGACCTGCACCGAGGCAAGGCACCACCAACAGGAAACAGGACACGGCTGGGGAAGGTGGAGCTGACCAGACTGGGTGGAGCTCCAGATAAAGAGGGCTGAAAGACACACATTCTAGTGGAGACAGAGTGCAGGGCAGACAGCAGGAGGGGAGGAGCCAGATGAAAAGGCAAAGACGAAGGAAAAGAGGCGCAGATGGAGAGATGAGAGTCAACGTTCTAAGCGAGGGACCCAGGCCAGTCCCCCACAACCCCCCGTACCACCCCCCGCCCCCCGCCGCCCACAACCCCTACCCGCCTCCCGCCTACAACGAGACTAAAAAACCAGCTCTGGCCCAAGGGAGAAAGTTCACTCACAGGGGGCATAAAACATGACCAGTAGTGGCCTCTCTTCCTTCTTCAGGAGTCGTCTGAAGTCCTGAGGCACAAAAAGAGAAAACCAGCAGCTCACACATGGCACAACAACAGGATGATACCCCTTCCCTGCCCCTCCTGCATCCAGAAGTGTGGGGATGGGGAGAGGAGCAGGAGTGGGCACTTCAGAAAGCACAGTCTGGTGGCTGACTTGTGGGTGCGGGCAGAGCCGAGGCAGGTCAGGAGCAGAGATAACGTATTTGAGACCACCCTTGCTTATTACAGATGGGAACACTGAGGCCCCAAGCTAACAAATGGCTTTGGCCTGGTGAGAGAGAGGGAGTCGTGAGGACCAGGCTGCTGGCTTTCCTTTCAGCCCCACCTGAACAGTTCAAAGACAACAAAGAGCGGTTTTTGTTCCATGATGCTGTCAAATAGGCTGCCCCTTCCTGTGACTTACACAGCAGTTTTGTTGTGGGGCGGGTGGCTGTTTTCATGTGTGCCCGGCTTGGCCAGATGGGGATCTGCTCATTGTGGGAAGAGGGGTTAACCCATACCGGCTAATCTCTTGCTAATCTCTTCCCAGGCTCCAGCCCTGCCACCACTGTCCTGGCCCCCAGGAGTCCATGGAGCACACAGAGCAGAGAAGGGGGCCTGCTCCACCCTCCAGGAGGTTACAGGCAAAATGGATTTGTAAATCCCTTAGAACAGTGCCGGGCATGTTATTAAGCAGTACATAATGATTTGTTAGCTGCACACAATAAAGGCAAAAAGACAAATGGCCACACAGTGCTCATGTAGACTTCAGTGTGTGAGCAGGGTGGAGTGACTTTTCTTCCAACGAGAGCCAATGGTGGATGGGAAAAAGCAACTCTATCAAGGACTGCAATGAAGCAGGATGATAGAGCATATTTTGATTAAGCTGCTCAACCACTTTTCACAGAAGAAAATGAGAGGGTTTTCTCTTTTGAATAATAAGGAAAATAAGAAAATTTAAAAATGCAGCTTTCTGGCAGCAAGAAGGCATTAGGTACATAAATGATGGCACATTCCGCACAATGGGATACCACTGCATCATTAAAACCGAAGAAGAAGGTGTTTAATGTCACAATCAGATGTGCACCGTGCACTGTGGGGGCGGGAAGCAAGTTACAAAACAGCATATAAAATATAATGACATCTTTGTGAGTGGAAACATAATGTACATATTACCTTGAAAGCCTGGAAGATTACAAAAATATCAGCAGGCATCTCTCTCAATGAAAAGGTGTGGGGTGATGTGGTTTTTTTCTTTATGCTAAAGATGTATTTTCTAAATTTTCAACAATGAATGTGTATTAACTTAAACATTTTCAGTTAGATAAAAAAAGATCAAATTTTTGTGGATATCCAAAACATTTTAGAATAAATTCTGGAAAAGTTTACCCTTGTTTACATAACTAGAGGGTTAAGGCACTAATTTTCAAACAAAATTAGTAAACAAGATATTTACCCCAACTAGGGGTACAGGATGCAAACAGTTTTAAAATTATCTTTTGAGATTTCTGGAGATAAAAGCTAGTAAAAATCTGAGAAGAGAAGATTTTATTGAGCCTATAGCAATTTGGTTTCATATCTTGAGTAGTAACAGATATTACATTCAAAGATGCTTAATTACCCTCACAAAGTATGAAATTCCAAGCCTACAAATTGAATCAGCAATTCAAACTTGAATTTGGAACTTTTCATTGTTTATGTGGACATTCTATTAGCAGAGAAGCAGCTGTACCTCTTACTTCCATAGGAGAGAAAAGAGCACAAATCAGGATGAGAGGATTCCCTACGGGTGTGAAAGAACTATTTCTGCTTAATATTCCTGCAGTTACAGAAGAACAACCTTAGGAAGTTCAGGACATGGTATCTGGGGAGGAAGGCACCCGGCAATCACTTTCCAGAGAAGCTATACACATTCATTATCACGGGAACGGCACTCTGTTTAGGCTGTTTGTATTTCCATGGCTCTTGGTACATGTGCCACTCTCTCCTGGTACTTGCCCCTCTTTCCCTGCCCCCACATGCTTTTTTAAAAGACTTCCTTGAGGCTGGATGCAGTGGCTTACAACTGTAATCCCTATATTTTGGGAGGCAGAGGCAGGTGGATCACTTGAAGTCAGGAGTTCCAGACCAGCCTGGCCAACATGGTGAAACCCCATCTCTACTAAATTACAAAAATTAACTGGGCATGGTGGCGCACGCCTGTAATCCCAGCTACTTAGGAGGCCACGGTAAGAGAATCACTTGAACCCCAGAGGTGAAGGCTGCAGTGAGCCAAGACTGTGCCACTGCACTCTAGCCTGAGGGACAGAGTGAGACTCTGTCTCCAAAATTTAAATAAAAGACATCTTCAAGATGACAATACTGGCTCTTTCTATCCCAGAGAATGTTGTGCCCAGCCCTTAATTTGAATCACCACTGATCCACTTGGTTGGCCCACAATAATTGCACGTTTTACCTTCCTCCAGAAGGTTAAAAAAAAGGCATCATTTTCTTCAGGGCTAACAAGCATTAAGAGTACAGTCAATAGGCCAGTTACAGAGGCTCATGCCTGTAATCTCTGCACTATGGGAGGCTGAGGCAGGAGGATTGCTTGAGGCCAGGAGTTCAAGACCACCTTGGGCAACATAGTGACAGCCCATCACTACAAAAAATTTAAAAACTAGCCGGGCATGGTGGCATGCACTTGTAGTCCCACTTACTCAAGAGGCTGAAGTAGGAGGATTGCATGAGCCCAGGAATTCAAGGTTACAGTGAGCTATGATCACACCACTGTACTCTTCCAGCCTGGGTGACCGTGAGACCCTGACTCCAAAAACAAAAAAAAGAGTCAACAATTTTAAAGGAAAAGGGAGAGAAGGAAGAGAAAGATGAAACCTATGTTTTATTTTATCAAGATAGGAATGAACCTTCTCCCTCCATCTACAAAAAGCACTGCTTGCCTCACAGACCATCCGAACTATTACAGAGAAGTTCTTGCCCATCCTAAGTGAAGGCGTCATACAAACATGGATGCACATGGCTAAAGATGCACATTCAGGTCAGGTGGGCAGGCTGTGGATCGAGGGGCAACGTGTGTCACACCTTTTGCACTCTTGATTATTTTAGAGATGGGGTCTTGCTATGTTGACCAGGCTACCCTTGAACTCCTGAGCTCAAGCAATCCTCCTGCCTCAGCTCCGAGTAACTAGGACCACAGGCAGGTGCCACCCACAGCAACCAGTCTGTTATTACTTTTGTTAAATACTCAAGAACTAATAAAGACTATCACCTACCTCTACCACTGGTCAAATTTGGAACTCAAAGCACAAGAGGGTAAATAATTGGTACAAAGCGATAGAGTGATTCAGAATTGTAGAGACCTGCTCAAGTCTCTGGAAATCTAACCCTAATCTCCAAGATTATTCTCTAAAAAAAAAAACCAAAAACAAAAAACAAGATGTAAAGCCAATCCTAGCAACATCTGGATTACATAACAGAGAAAGAACATTTAAATCTATATGCACATATGGAAAATCTAAACATGTTCAAATACATTAAATAAGGAAGGTGAAGAACGAAGAAAATTCTCAAGCAACTTGTGATCTCTACTGGTTACAACATAGAGCTGGGAAGGGGAATCAAATATTAGGGTCCTGGCCTAGCTTCCCTGGAGGAAAGTCCAAGTGACCCTGGAATATTCCCATTTCTCAGCTGGTTGGGCTCCTCTCCGTGGGAAGCCCTGGTACCAGGAAAGCTTCCAGCATCCATCAGAACTGATGGGGAATACATTACCTTTTCAATGTCAATGTGGACAACATCTTTGGCTCCAGGATCTTCCTCCCACAGTGGAGGCCCTTTGGGATCCTTCAAAAAGGCCACTATGGACTGATGAAAAAAAAAGGAAAGAGAAAATGCATTTTAGCCCTGAAAAGAGGGAGGTAGGGGAATCAGGGATCTGTTCTGCTTCCCTGCCTGGTGACCTGGGCACACCAGGTGCTGGGCTCAGGACTACATGTAGTATAAGCTTAGAGAATGTGCTATTTCCAATGTCCACTGACATCATGCACTTCCACCACTCCCGCCAGGCTTTTCCAATCACAAGACACCTTGCTCACTCCAGTCAGGTGGTCCATACCTACTATGCATCTTCATGGACAGAAAAGAAAACATCTGAGGCAATGAGTTGGCTTATTCAAACCAGAGACACACTGATGCTTCTACTAAACCTCATCTCCTCCAAGATGTCCTCCTGCCTAATGGAATAATAGTCTCAGTCTTGTCAAAAGGAGACATTTCCATACACCTGCAGCCACTAAAACTGTCATCTCATAAGCAGATAATCACACCTACTTTCAACCTGCTTGGTATTTCATGATCTAAAGTGGTTTTCAGTGGATTAAATCCTGATTATCCTCCGCTGTATATGAATGAGCGAGGTCCAGGCTGGGAAGCCCCCAGGGCAGGGTGGTCACCAATGTGGACCCACGCTTGTTGCTGTACTTCTCTTCCTGAGGGCCCCTCTTCTGGACTGCCTGGATTAAAGATCTGAGAAAGCCCTTACAGATAAAGGGCTTTGCTGGCCTTTGTTATGTGTACACTGACTCAAACCTCCACTGGCTTTGGGGAAGGCACACAGGGGCAGGGAAGAAAGGCACTGTCCTCCCACCCTTATCCGTACTCCCTGCCACTCTCACTGGTCCAGAGCAGAAGCAGCACTCCCTTTCCCCTCAGTCACTCTGAGAGACGGTGCTTAAAGTCTGTGAGAGCCAGGAGCAGGCACCAGATCCCAGCCAGACTGTTACTTCTGTCCACTTTGACCACGCTCCAGTGAGCAGATGCTGAATGTGTGTGTGTGTGTGTGTGTTGGGAGATGGGGAGGCCTGAGACAGAGAGAGAGAGAGTGTGTGTGCATGTGTGTGTGTGTGTTGGGAGATGGAGGGGCCTGAGACAGAGAGAGAGAGAGAGAGTGTGTGTGCGTGTGTGTGTGTGTGTGTGTGTGTGTGTTGGGAGATGGGGAGGCCTGAGACAGAGAGAGAGAGAGTGTGTGTGCATGTGTGTGTGTGTGTTGGGAGATGGAGGGGCCTGAGACAGAGAGAGAGAGAGAGAGAGTGTGTGCGTATGTGTGTGTGTGTGTGTTTTGGGAAATGGGGAGGCCTGAGAGAGAGACTGTGTGTGTGTGTGTGTGTGTGTGTGTGTGTGTGTGTGTGTGTGTGTGTGTTGGGAGATGGAGGGGCCTGAGACAGAGAGAAAGAGAGAGAGAGAGAGTGTGTATGTGTGTGTGTATGTTTTGGGAAATGAGGAGGCCTGAGAGAGAGAGAGAGAGGGAGAGAGTGTGTGTGTGTGTGTGTGTGTGTGTGTGTGTGTGTGTGTGTTGGGAGATGGGGAGGCCTGAGTGTGTATGTATGTGTGTTTTGGGAAATGGGGAGGCCTGAGAGTTTGTGTGTATGTGTGTGTGTATGTGTGTGTACGTCTATGTTGGGATATGGGGAGGCCTGAGTGTGTGTGTGTGTTGGGAGATGGGGAGGCCTCTGTGTGTGTGTGTGTGTTGGGAGATGGGGAGGCCTGAGGTGAGAAAGGGAAGTACTCTTCTATAATAGTAAGGGTGTGCATTCAGCCCATCCACTGGTCACATACAGAGAGGACCTTAGTAAGGCTTATTATTTCTGGAAACTCTGTTTGGAAAGAACTACTATGGGAGAATGGGAGACAGCCAAGACTTCATAGAATTTCATTCAGGTAGTGCTTCCTGCCTGTCCAAGTGGAGCTGTGAAACGCCTCCTGGCAAGAGAACAGCCATTTCTGCCACAGCAAAAGGCGGATCCACCCTTTCTTGGTCCCATGTCAAGGCTTCGCCATGACAACACAAGGAATTATGGAAATGTCAGGGTCTTCCCGACACCCACTCTCACCCACAGCTGCAGAGGCACCTGTCCACCAAGCCATGTGAGAAAGATGCTGGTAGCTCCCCCTTGCCTGGGGTTCCAGAAATACCCAGTGCAGGTGCTCTCAATTTAGGGTGCACAGGAAACTTCAGGAGTTGGTGAAACCCCAGACTCACGTGAGAACATTGACCTTGATTGCATGCACACACACTTTTTCAGGGAGAAGGTCTGTGTTCAGTAGATGCTCAGTGGGAGCAGAACCCCAGAACAAGTTAGGCACTGCTGCTCTGGGGGCTCCCCCCATGCCCAGCCCCCTCCCCCATTTCCACCTTGGCATCAAGAAAAAAAAAGCAGTGGATGGAAAAGGGAAGAAATGGCCTTTTAATGTAACAACTGACGTGTTCATACACACAACATTGTTTTTCAGGTGAGGATTATTCTCGTTTCACTGAATAACCCCATCTCTAACATTCTCTCTTAGTTGATCTAACTGGACAAGACCTCAGGAGGGGGGAAGTCTGCGGGGAGCAGCACCTGGAAGTCTACCCTCAGTTGTCCTATTCAGGGTGCTCTGAGTCCCAGATACTGCCTGACACCACATCTGGCCTTTAGGACACCTTCACGGCTGTGATCCTGGCTCACAGCTACCAGGCCCTGAGATCATCAGTGCGTCATCTGAATCCAGACTGCCAGGTGGCACCTCTGGCTCTCACCACTTCTATAGTAAGGATTTGGGGAGTAAGTGCTAACAAGGAAAGGGCAGCTTACAGGATGTTCCCACTTTGAGTTTCCTCTTCTTTGCTAATGGGGTGAAGTAATTTAAGTCCTCACTTATCTGGCCTGTGACCTCTCTAGGTACCATGGCACAGCAACTGTGACTAGGCTCCTGCCCAACCGTATGGGTTGACAAAAGCCACAGCCAGAACATGGGCCTGCAGGCCATTGGCCCCGCCTGTCAAGGGCTCCTCCATCTCTCTGGAGTCAGGGTCCCAGGAGAAACCCTGAATGGAAAGTTAGTCAGACAAGCTGAAAAGGCCGAAGCCATCGGCAGTCAAGGAACCATCCTGTCACCTTCCCTCTGCCCTGGAGAACTCCTAGGACTCTGCCCCAGTCCCACTTGGGGATGCTGGGACTAAGAGTGCCCTCTCTCCATCTGAAACTGAAGACTCTGGGCCCATGTGATGCTCAACCACTTCTTCAGCTTGTTGATGCAGAAATCATGGGAAGGTCAAGAGAATGCCAACCTCACATGCCCTGTCTTTGTAAGAAGTGGGATGAGGCCAGGATTCTGCCTCTCCCACCCAGATACCCAGTGGCATGCTGGAACCACGTGGGCTCCTTGCTCCTTTTCTGCTACTCCAGTTCTGAAGAGCCACTGAGAACTCCCTGCTCCATAAGCCCAAGACAGATTCCTCAGAGGTCCTGGTTAAACATAAAATATACACAACCTCCAACCAAAAAACAAAACCCCAGCCCTCTTTCCATCACTGCATAAGCACTTCCCCAACCCCACCCAACTAAACCTCGTTCCTGGGGAACATGTGTTCTCTCCAACAACTTCGGTTGACGTCTTAACACAGAATAAGAAGGGCTGAGCAATTCTAGTTGGAAGAACTTTCTAACAGTCTAAGTAGGTGTTAGGATGATGAGTAATCAGGCTGAGTCCCTATATAAGGTGAACGCTGTAGCAACTTAAAAAAAGAATGAGTGTTATTGGATAAGCAAGAAATGACCTGGAGAGATGGTGGGGAGAGACAGAGGGAGAAAGAAGGAAGGGCAGAGGGAGAGGGGCACAGACAGCTGCACAGACAGATGGACCGATAGGAAAAAATGGAAGGAGACACAGATGGAGAAAGAGGGACAGATGAAGAGACAGGAGTACAGGGTCCAACCCAGTCTGGGAAAGATGAGAGTTAGGAAGTGAGTTCAAACACATCAGGACCAGAAGAAACATATGGCTTCAGCCAACGCAGGATGAGAACGCAGAAGACAGGCTGGAGGAAGGGAATGCTGACCATGAAGGAAGAGAGTTGCAGTACAGGAGTACTAAGGGCTGGGCCAGTTGCTTTGTGATTACAGAATCTCCTACTTCTTGTCATTTACTTATGCTTTTCCATCTACTTCTAAACTGAATTGATAGCAGGGAACTCCTCAATGATACCCATATCTCATTTGGAATAAGCTGCATCAGCCCAAAGGTGCCAAGCTGCCAATGTGTGATACCCTGTGCTAACCTGGGCGCTGTACGTCCATCCAGCCTAAGGGTGGACACTACCACAGAAATGGGGGGAGGGCTTTGAAGCTATAGCAAAAGGACACCCAGGGGCCTTTGGCAGAGAGAGGTGACATCACCTGCCTCACTGGACAGCTGCTGATACATTCACAAATTTATCTCCAAAGCTGGGTCAATCCTATGTGTTAAGATCTACAAACTTTTCCAGATATTCTGCTGACATATGCTCTAGAGATAAGAATCTCTCAGGTCATTTAGAAGAGCTACTTGTGCAATCTGCTCTTTCTTTTCTCAGAGAGAAAACCTGCCAGACTTTGTGCGTCCATTTAGACTCCACCTCTGCTGAGAAAGAGGGAGGTAAATTTACCTTAAATGTCACAGCTCGGTTATATTCAGTATGAAATGCACCATCCCTGTCAAATGAGGAGAAAAATGTGTTAACTTTAAGAATGGTTGTGAAGATACATACCTTTGGTTTCCTGCAGCATCTTAATAAGATTCAGCTTTTGAATGCAGTTCAGAATTTTTTTTTAAAAGAAATAATTGTAAACACAGGAAGAAAACCATTCTGAAATAAAATTAATCTAACTAAAAATAGCTGGTCAGTGAAAATACCAATGAAAGTGTTTGGCACTTACTTGGAAATTGGAAATGCCCACATGTACTTACTGGTAATGGAATAATTCGACCTTTTTATCCTTTGGGCTCAGGTCAACTTTCATCTTTTTGCACAATTTCCTACTCTCTGCATCACTGAAAGACACAAATGTCGGGAACTATTTATTACCTGAAGTCCTCACAGAGGTGTTGACAGCAAAATCTGCTGGTGTCCTAAGAAATAAGCCAGGTAACTTGGAATTCTCAATAGCAGAGGAAGGCCTTACTATAGATAGGCTGTGAGAACTGGAGGAAGGTGACTAACTAGCAAGTAGGGGCTGATCAAGAAAGATAGAGGCCAGGCGTGGTGGCTCGTGCCTGTAATCCCAGCACTTTGGGAGGCCGAGGCGGGTAGATCTCCTGAGGTCAGGAGTTCGAGACCATCCTGGCCAACATGGTGAAACTCCATCCCCACTAAAAATACAAAAATTAGCTGGGTGTGGTGGGGTGCGCCTATAGTCTTAGCTATTCAGGAGGCGGCTGAGGCAGGAGAATTGCTTGAACCCAGGAGGCAGAGGTTGCAGTGAGCCGAGACTGTGCCACTGCACTTCAGCTTGGGTGACAGAGAGACTCCGCCTCAAAAAAAAAAAGAAAGAAAGAAAGAAAAGAAAGACACAAGCAAACAGGAGCTGGTGTGTCATGACTTGTGGGTGGCAACACAGACAGGTCCAGACAAAGGAAGTGCCCCAGAAGCTTAGGGGGTAGACAGCCCATGGTAATAAGAAAATAAACTCCAATTGTGGCTGCTCTTTAAATTAACCAGGCAAGTTTTTAAAAATATCAATGCCCTGGCCTTACTCTGATTATTAAGTCAGAATCTCTGTGAGGGTGGGACAAGCAAGATTTTTGTTTCTGGAGCTCTGACATAGGCCATCTACTATATACTGTCTGACCAAGGTAAGAGGAAAATATGCTACCATATTGAAGAAGTTATGAAATCTGGCCAGGTATTGACAAAAGGCAAAAGGACAAGGCTGTGGTTTAAGAAGCCCCCTCTCTTGGCATCTGAGATATTACACTCTCTTCCCATAAGAAATGCCTGTCAGGTGCCATTCCCCGTTTGCAAAACACTTGTGTACAACCTCATCTAATCCATCTGCCTGTTAGAACAATGGATTTCAATATGTGGTCCCTGAACCAGTAGCACCAGTGTCATCTAGGAACCTGTTAGAAATGCAAATGATCAGCCCCATCCCAGACCCAGTAAATGAGAAACCCTGGGGATTCTTGAGTGATTTGCATTTGAACAACCTTCTAAGTGATACTGATGTGTGCTCAAGTTTGCAAACCACTCACTACATTAGACTAGCTCCTTCTCTGGCTCATATTTCTCTCCCCTACCTCTACAAGGTTTGGCTCCCCTGGGCCCTACACCAGCCCCTTAGAGACCAGACCTGTTCTCACAGCTTCCCCATCCTGCTTGCTTGCACTCAGTCAGTCAGACAACCCTGCTTGTTAGTTGGGGGCCATCTCCCCAGCCCTGAAAATACTCAGTGAGGGCATCTCGGCTACCCATCACCCACTGGTCACCATGGACTACACAACCGGAATCATGTTTTGGGGAACTTTTGCTGGGACAGGTACAACAGCCACCTGAGGCAAGGAGCTGTATCTCCCAGTTGCTTACATGCCTCCTCTCCACCAACAGCCATCAGCTTCACACAGCTGTGCATCAGCCCAGAACAGATGGACTAATTAAAACACTCAGCTCAATTCTAAAAGCAACACTCATCAGTGGATGCAAAAAAATGCAGGACCTCATTTTAAGTGTAAGATGCAATCTGCAACTCAAGAAGCGTGTCTTACTAGAGAGGTGTGTGAGGGTCAGAGAGGAGGAGTGTCTTCCTCCCCGCATCCTCCCCCAGGTCCAGGGGTTTCCTCTCTACTAGTCCCAGCTGTCTAGCCATCGCTGCAGCCACTGCAGCTTCCAGCCCTAGGCCTGGCAAGTAGCGGGGACTCATGAAATGCATGAGGAAGCCAGAGAGGAAAGGCTAATGACATGGCAATAGTTCCTCCCCTAAAGTGGCAAGGACATTTTAGGACAGAGAGATTCCAGAGAGAAGGGGCAAACTGGGAGTGGGCTCTCCGAATGGAGAAGGCAGCCCAGGGCATTGCTGAAAACTTTTTTTTTTTTTTTTTTTTGAGACAGAGTTTTGCTCTTGTTACCCAGGCTGGAGTGCAATGGCGCGATCTCAGCTCACCGCAACCTCCTGGGTTCAGGCAATTCTCCTGCCTCAGCCTCCTGAGTAGCTGGGATTACAGGCATGCGCCACCATGCCCAGCTAATTTTTTGTATTTTTAGTAGAGACGGGGTTTCACCATGTTGACCAGGATGGTCTCGATCTGTTGACCTTGTGATCCACCCGCCTCGGCCTCCCAAAGTGCTGGGATTACAGGCTTGAGCCACCACGCCCGGCCGTTGCTGAAAACTTTCTTATCCTAAAGCCCTCTGGGGTCCACACGGGCCTCTTCTGACAACTGCTATGACAGTTCAGTGTGCCCCGTCCCACAGGGGCTCTGTGGTGACACTGCACTGACAGGCGGCGGGTCCGTTTGAGAATGGCTGCAAACGACATGCCCTTTCCCCTCTTGAGTCAATTCCCAGGACAGAGGGCTTGACTCTGATGTTTACACCACTCACTTGGCACCTTCCTCGTTGGCCTTTGTTCTGCTGTGCTCCACTCTTTCCGTGACCACCTACTGTCCACCCAACTGCAACAACAAACATCAGCTGGGGCAGGAGCCAAGACTGGGATGGGATGCGAGCAGCCTCCCTCAGCACCATCAGCCCTGTCCTGGCACCAGCGGCACGCGAAGGGCTTGCTCATCAGTTCTCTGTTCACCCTGCAGTGCCTGCCTGGGTGGCTCAGACACTGCAAGGTAGCAACTGGAGGGAGAATCGCCACCTGATGCCCCTCTCTCTTCCATCAAACCTGGCTGGCAGTCTCTGCCTGTGACTATCACAAAGCAGAGGGAGGAAACACGGGGCCTGGTTCATTCCCATGCCAATCCCAGTCCACTCTGTGGGAAACCCCTCCATGGAAAAGTCCCACAACGGCAGCCTTAGGTTCCCTGAGGACCCAGGCCAGGCTTAGGACCAAGACTCCAAACCAACTAACTTGGCTGGTAGAGCTGGGGCACAGGGGCACCCCTGCCTGTTCTTTAGTGTGGCCTCCAAGGTTCAGCCCGGTGTTCAGCCTTCTGCCGTCACTCCAGCTAAGTAAGCACCCCACGAGCCCTCACTGCAGAATCTGTGCTAACTCCCTTGTTAGCTTATGTAACACTCCTAAGGATTCTCTCCTCTCCCATCCCCTGCACTCTCTCTCTCCTTGCAGGGTGAGTGGGGAGGAGGCTTCCTGTCCTGTCTGAGCACATTTCTGGCAAAGACCCAAGGGCTGCTGGCTCCAGCACTCCCAAACTCCCCTTCTCTGCTGTCTTCCTCTCCACAGCACTTATCAGCATTGGACCAACTTGTCCACTGCCTGCCCCATCAGAAACATGTGCTCTGTGAAGCCAAGGGCTTGGTTTTGTGCACAGCTATCTCCCCAGAGGTACAACAGCAGCTCGCACACAGTAGGCACTCTATAAATCACCTGACTGAATGGCTGAATGGCTGAAATGAATGACATTGTCTTACTGCTGCTGGGATGAGGCTCTGCGTTTCTGGCTTTCTGGGATCTCTGGGCTCTGTCTATTGAGCTCCAGGAATCCTGCCAGCTGATAATTCCTGACAATGTTCTCTCGGCACTGTTTCCCTCCCTCCCACAGTTCTGTCTCTCAGAGACAGACACTAAAAGTGTGAGTAGCGTGTGTGTGTGTGTGTGTGTGTGTGTGCGCGCGCGCAAGCATGTGTGCACACACTAATTGTGCAGCGCAGACAATAAGTATCAGAAGAGTTCAAGTATCAGGGAGAAAATTACTCAAGCTCTGAGATTTAAAAGGACCTGAGTTGGGAGATTAAGTATAATTAATCAATCTACTGACTACCTCCCTCCCCAACCAATCACTGAGGTTCTAGGGGAGAAAGGAGACAAAGCAGTGAGCAGGGAAACGAGATGCTTTGCTAGAACTGAGGAACTGAGGGGGATGGAGAACTCCACGAAGGGTCATGGAGAAGGGGCTGGCAGTGCAAAGACCTGAAGGTTCTGCCACCCCCCTGGCCCCTAGACTGTAGGAACCAGCCATCCCTCTGCCCATTTACTCACCACTGTTCCAAGGAATGAGGCATCAAGATCACCGATCTCCACCATCCTATCCCTCTCCACCTTGCTTGGCTCTCTTCCAGGGAGAATGTAGAAGGAAAGATGGCAGAGGCCTGTACACACTTCCCTCCACACTCCACATACCCCCACCCAGACAGACGCATGCACATGGGTGTTTTCGTCTGATTCTACCATAGGACAGCTGGCTGCTAGTCGGGAGTGGCTGCAGGTACATGGTGTACTGTTTATTGGATTTTCCTGTGCAGTAATAATTATCCAGGAGACTGGAAACATACACTCCTGGGAGTCAGACCCGGGGATCAAAGTGGGGGTGAGAGCAGGAAGAAAGCGAATAAACAAGGTCTGGAAGCCGGCAGGGTCGGGGGTGGGGCTCTGAGGTCTTTCACGAGTCCAGCCTAAGCACCATGGCCAGCTAGAATGACAGCTTCAACATCTGGCTCTGCTGTTAGTGACCTCTGGCAGGACCCTTAGTTTCCTGAGCTGTGAAACACAGGAGTTGTCCACATAAGCTGAATGGAGCTTGATTTCTCCATGGAGTCAAATAAGACTAAATAAAGCATCAAGACAGACTGCCTTATATCCTGACACATGAACCAGGAGCCAGAACCTGAGGCAAAAGAGGGAGATGAAAAACGCTCTGAACCCATCATCTCTCTCCTCACCTCCCAACCAGATCCTCAGTCAGCCACAGTTGGGGTTCTTATGTCCACGGCAGACCATGTTCAGCCCCTCCTGGTGTAGTAGAAAGAAGGCTACACTGAAAACCAGAAGGAAAGCTTCTGCCTGTCTCGGCATTAACTTTATGCCCACGGCTACCCCAGCCTCTCTACCTCCATTGCCCCATCAAAGAAGGGGTCACTCTTCCTCCCATTG